TTTGACTCTGCTGGGTTCAGATAAGAGCACAGGTGGAAAGCAAGTAGTTGTCTGGCCTACCTGCTCCACCCTTCCTGGCTTGTTCTAATTAGCAGTCTCCACTAGCAAGAAGCTTTCACTTTCAAGTGAATTGTTGATTTAACATTGGAGTTAAAAAGGGAAGGAAAGCAAGAACAGAAGACAAAACAAAGGTGCACAACATTAGAATCCCTCTCTACTAAAAAGAGATTTTTAATCTCTATAAAAATCTCTATATTTATGTGACACAAGGCAGAAAAAACTGCCCAGCTACAGCCTTCTCTGTGCAAGCACCAGTATTTCAAGCTGAAGAAGAGACTGAAAACCATACTAGCTATTTCACAACTTGACAGAAACTCTTCTGCTCATTGCCCCTGACAAAATGAACAGCCTGTCAGAATGTCAGCTGTTCAGAGTCCCCAGCCTTCAGGACAGGCAGAGGACAAGTCGCACTCAGATTTCATTTGGTATCTAGTAATAGAAAGTCATAGCTAACAATACGACTACAGAACAGGAGTTCAATGCCAAAGATTTTTGATTTTGCAATGTGGTTCCAGTTTCAGATAGTACTGACCTCAGCAGGCATAGAATACAAGACATAAACAAATACTTCCTCATCCAACTGAAGCAAAATCAGCGAGATTTGTGCAGCCCATCAACAAAGGTGAATACCACATAAACCACGAGACTTTGTCACCACTAAAATGACAAACAGGTCAATCGGCAGGAAGGACTATTTGAACACAGCAGACCCATCTACAATCAAAGTAAGCTAGATCTGAGAGAATGTTTGTGTACAACCAAAAGCATGTGAAGCACACCAAGGCATGCAGGATCTTTGGGAAACCTGGATCTTTGAAGGCTCACAGAAATAACAGAATAGCTGAGCTTGGAAGGGACCTCTGGAGATTGTTTAATCCAACAAGGATTAAAGCAAGGTCAAGTAGGGCAGGTTGCTCAGGTTTTGACTGGGTTGGGTTCAGTTGGGTTTTGACCATCTCCAAGGATGGAGACTCCACAACCTCTCTGGGCAACCTGCTCCAGCATTCAATCACCCTTACAGTAAAAATGTTTTTTCTTATGTTTTAATAGAACTTCCTGTGTTTCAATTTATGTCCATTTCCTCTTGGCCTTTCACTGGGCACCACTGAAGGGTCAGAGAGTCCATCTTCTTTATTCCCCCATTAGCTATTTAGATATATTGATAATATCCCTCCAAACCTTCACTGCTGCACACTGAACAGTCCCAGCTCGCTGAGCCTCTCTTCATGTGAGAGATGCTCTGTTCCCCTAATCATCTTTTTGGTCCTTTGCTGTACTCACTCCAGTATGTCTATGTCTAGTAATGGGGAGCCCAGAACTGTACCCAGCACTCCAGATGTGTCTTACCAGTGCCAAGCAGAGGGAAAGGATCACGTCCCTTGACCTGCTGACAATGCTCTTCCTAACACAGCCCAAGTGTGTTGAATTTCTTTGCCGCAAGGATGCATTGCTGTCTCACATTTGGCTTGGTGTCCACCAGGACTGTTAGGTCCCTTTCCGCAAAGCTGCTTTCCAGCTGGTTGGCCCCCAGAGTGTACTGGTGCATGGGGTTATTGCTCCCGAGGTACAGGACTTGACATTTCCTTTTATTGAACTCAACGAGATTCCTGTTTGACTACTTCTCCAAAAGCGACAAAGTACCTCTGAATGGTGGCACAGCCATCTGGTCATCAGCCACTCCTCCCACTTTTGCAACATCTGCAAACTTGCCAAGGGTACACTCTGTCCCATCATCCAGATCATTAATGAAGATGTTAAACAGCGTTGGTTCCAGTATCAATCCCTGGAGTACAGCGCTAATGACTAGCCTTCAACTGGACTTCATGCTGCTGATCGCAATCCTTTGAGCCCAGCAGTTCACCCAATTTTCAGGCCATCTCACTGCTCATTTATCTAGTCCGGATTTTGTCAGTTTGTCTATGAGAACATTGTAAGAGACAATGTCAAAAGCCTTACTAAAGTCAAGATAAACCACATCCATTGCTCTTTCCTTATCCACTGAGCCAGAACTACTACATTCCAACTATTAGATTTCAGATGTGCTTCTGAAAAGAAATTGGGATTAGAGAGATAAAGAAAAACAGTGTATTAGTGTTGAATTCAGAGTTACAAATGAAGAAAATAACCTGAGGCTCAGCAAGTCAGCAGACCTGCTTCATGCAGAACAGAACTCTCATTTTTGAGTCAAGTATTGGAGGCAAGTATATTCAAAAAAGTCTTTGAAGAAAGAGCCATGAAAAATTTTATTGGTGTCTTCAAATTCACAGCTGATGTACAAGCAGCACTCCAGAGGTGTCACTGATAGCAGTAACAAAACCCCAAACATATTACAGAGTCAAAGAGAGAAAGAAAGAAGCAATTCCAAAATTATAAGCATTCCTGGTAGTCAACTTTCTAGATACCTGCTCAAACCACAAGATCCTGAAACAGGTATGTTATTTGGGGAATTCTGTGTGCAATTCATTCTTTAACAACCAAAGGTCCCACAATATTTTGTACATGTGCAAATTAGCATCCTTGAAGAACTGCAGTTTTTAGCCTGGATTTAGTCTTCCTCAGAAACTAATGGCTCTTCAAAGTATTTATCTCCTTCTCCCTCAATAATGCACTTCTTTCTCCCCAAAAATTTGCCTGAGTGCTTTCCTGTTCAAGAAAGATCTAAAATGATGGTACCAGTGGCCCTCAATCTCCAAGAATTTCTGCACCCCAATGGAACCACCATACTCTTCACAGACAGATCACCTCATTATAACCATTCTGAAGTACTTATTTCTGCTTACCAATGTAAGACAATCATTATATTGTGCTACAAGTATTTCATAAATGTAATATTACACCACTCACATTTCAAATAAAAAAAAAAACTGAAAAAGCAAAGCACCTCACACCACTGCTGCTCACACTAGGGCAGTAACTAAAGAAGAGAATTATCGTTTATTTCCCCTTGCCTTTATTTTTCTTCTTTCATATTCTATTTTTAATTGCTACAGTGGCAACAGTCATTCTGTTACCGGGTTTATTCATGGAACTATTTTGGTAGGTATGTCAATGCTTCTTTCTACTTAGAAAATTAAGTCACTGCCTGTATCAATAAATATTTCTCAGGTGAGCTGCATCAAAATTTGCCCACAAAGATCTAAAGACTCAGATGTTAAATTGAGATTTTGGGGGTTCAATTCTGTTCTAGTTGTAACTTTGGTCAAAGTGGCCAATGCCTGTTCTTCAGTTCTTCATTTATAAACTGAGAATCTTTACACTAATACTGAGAGTATCATTATGTATCATATTACGCGTCCTCCTCTGGCTGCTTTCCCATCATTCTGAAGGACACTGTATTAGAAAATGACCCAAACCAAAAACCTTATTTGAGCCTCAAAAAGTTTCTAAACTGAAAATAAAAGCTTTTCTAAGACAAACAGCTCCACAGCCAAAGCTGTTAGAGAACTTTTTGAAAGCACTCTTGCAGGTGGATTACTACAAAGTGAATTGGATTAGTACAAAGTGAATTGTGTTAACTTGATCCATATTTGAAGAAGATTTAATCTAAGGTGACTTTATACTTCTACAGACTAAGATCATTGACACAATGTATTAAGACATTTCAATCCTGGGCACTGTAACCTACAGTTAAAAGGATATAACAAGTAGATGAGACGGTAATTTTTTATGCCTCTTTAGCTAGAGCTGTAAAAGCTTGCCTCACTCTAGAACATACTGTCTTCTGCCTTCTTTATTCTCACACTGGTCTAATTATACATAAAGACTCTTGTAGCTTTATTTTCCATGACACTATTTAAATACTATCTTCCCAGAACTTAAGTACGCTAATGATTGGTCATAAAGTGCTTGGAAAGAGATCAAGTTATGCAAAATTACTATTTAGGCTGCTTGCAAAAGCAGCCAAAATTGACCCCTTTTTGTGCCCCTCCTAACATGCTGTTCACTGCAATACTCCTGCCAATTCTAAACAGAATCTCAGATTTATTTCTTGTTTAAGTCTTGGTTTTGTTTAAGAGTTTTCTCCAAGTACATTACCTTAGCCTCCCACACACGACATTATTTGCCCACATAAATCTTTCTAGGTATCAGCTTTAAATCATTACCATTTCTGTTGTTTACAATCTCCCATCAATTTAGTTTTGTTTGTGAGTTTCAGTATTTTAAGTAGCCTTTCCTCCTATGAGGTAGGCTCAAGGATGAAGACTTATTTTATTACACAGTCCCCTTAAAGGAACAGGTTTTCAAAAAATTAAACAAAACACTTGACCACTATAATTCTAACACTCTTGAATATGATAAAATCTAGTTGTAACATGACTCTAAAGAGACGAAGGCAGGTAGACAGTTTAGAAACTAGCATGCCAAGAGAGGTGTTCTCTAGAGATGTGATTCAAGAGGGAGACTAAAGGATTGGGGAAATCACAGCTTCATCACAGGAAGGACTTTCAGAAGGCCTAAAGGAGACAATGACACATAAGAAAAAATTTGTGTATGTTAAAGAGTTTCTAAGCTCATCTTATAGCAGCTCTTATCCCACATTAACTAGATGAACCCTGATTAAAAAAAACCACAGTCGGAAAAAACTTACATCGATTACATGTTTTTGATAAACATATGTTACACACTTGACACTCTAAAATTGGTTTGCAGAGTCAGCCTGGCTATGGCAAGCATATGTTTCTGTTCATCTCTAATACACTGATTTCAACCAGTTTAGAATGGGAAACAACTGCGATGGACACAATGTAAGTTTACAGACAAGAGGGAAAAAAGAAGTCAGAAGAAATTTTAAAAAAATGCTTCTCAGCATTAACATAAAGAAGAATCTCTTGTAGGATGAAAAATGTGAGGAGAAACTATAAGCACCAGTTGAGATCAGAAATTAGGAAGAGGCAAATATGATGATTGTTTCATAAATAAAAGAAACAGCTTATACTTACCAAATTATCAGTTTCTGGATCTTCACAGAAAAAGGGTTTTCCTTCTTTCTCCTGCTTCCTTACAAAATTTTCAATATCTACATCAAAACTAGCAGAAGTTGTGCCTTCTGAGCCTTGTGTAGATTGTTCACATTTTTCAAATAATAGTGCTAATAAGGGAAATAGTGGGTGCCTAGAATAAAAGTTGAAGTACATGAACAAGTATTTTCACTTAGATGTACACCACTGAAAAGTAAGACATCTAGAGGCAAGTAAAGCAGTAAAATATGTATATTTAAATAAAGAGAACAATCACAAGCTGAAAAGCTATGACATACTATTTAATTCACTGTAATTGAGTGACAATCACATTAATACAGTGCATTAGAAATGAGGATTAGGATTCACAAATAAGATGAATGCAGATTTAAATTATGAAATAGAGTCTGATAAAATTCATTTATTCTCCAATGTGGACCTTATTTATACATCACAAATAACTTCACAGAACTGAGAATAGTATGCAGGCTGTACTCTGAGGCCTCCTATGAAATCATGCTCAGAGCAGAAGATGATTTTGTTAGCACAAGTCTGTAAATGAGTAAATACGTCTTTCTGCTTCAGGTTTTTGGTTTGTGTTTTTTTTTTTTAACCTGCAAACTGGTAATAATTATGTCTGTATAAAGCACTTAAAGTGAAAGAACCCTTAACCTCATCAAAACTGAGCATACTGTTTACCACAGCACTTAACACTGGAAAATCTCAAATTAGTATGTTTATACATCAACATTTAATCCAGTTTGAGGTAATTACAGGGCAATAGATTGTTATCCCTAAAGAAAAGGGAGTAAAGATTGACCTAACTACAATAAAAATAAAATCTCACATTAAAGATAAGAACTACAGTATAACAAATAGTGACCATAGTTCAACAGTCTGGGTAGCTTGCTAAATTTCACTTGTGCTTTAAAGGCAGCCACCTTTAGAATATCCTTTAAAACTATGCTGAAATTAAAGAATCCCACAATAAAGGCAAGGGTTTTTTTCTTGGCTGAAGACTGACAGTGAAGCTAATTTGATCTCACCCTTTCCCTGCAAACTACTGAGACAGTTAGCCAAGAGATCATCTGATTTTAAGCTGCTTATTATTAATTTAAAAAAAAAAATCCTCTATTCTTTATCCTTCAAAAGATAGAATACAAGTCCATTACTACCTGTAAATGGCCTGCTTGTCTGCATCCATTGGAGTTTGAGATTCTACAGGGGCAGGACTCACCCCTTCTGCATCAGTTTCAGAGCAGTTGGGATCTTGTTCAGTTTTTAACTCAGTTACTACTTGCATCTGTAGAAAAAGAGTAAGTTATAAGTAAATCTCTCTGCTTGACGTAAAATAAGTGTACTGTTTTCTAAGGAAATAGCAATGCAAAGGGCTACTGAATTGCCAGAAGGTTGGTATGACTTGGCAGCTACACAAAAAGCCATAGCAGTAACAAAACCCCTCTTTTAATCCTTGACACTTTTTGATGGGTAGTTTAAAGGTCACTACAAGTTTCAGCACTCGGCTCCAAAATGGGAATGACAGATATTAGTAAATTGTTAAAGCATTTTGTCTCTGAAGTGGCTATTTTTGGAATAGGCTGGAGTACATTGCTCAAAAAAATTTATGGGGATGTCTGCATAAAAGGCCTTTAGGATGAAAACAACAGAAAGGAAAGTTTCTACTCTTAAGTTTTCTTTCTTATTTCTTACTGTACATTATGTCAGGATACAGAAGGAAAGAGATCCTGAAGTTTTTCTTGTCCATTAAAATGCACATTTTCTTACAAAGAACTGAAATATTGTGTGTCACTCCAATCTTTCAATTATCAGGAGCATAACCTCCCCTGACCTTTACCACTCAAATTTACATATTGTAATAATAAATTATTTTAGGAATATCAAGCTACTGGAGAAAACAACAGCAACTGCTTCTACAAATCCATTTAACACACAGTTACAAAATCTGCCACCACTGGAAAAAGAACATAGAGCCACAGCTTCTACTGAGCACCTCCTGAAGTGTACTAGGTGGCTGGTAATGCTTTCAGGTGCTTTGAAGGTGTTGAAAGCAGTTTTCCCATCACCTTCAGCTAAATACCTTTCAGACTAAAAGGTCTTAAAGGAATCTGACCTCTAAAAGTCATAGTTTCTACCCCTCAACAAAAACTCCTTGGTTTTCTCGCCTTTGAGCACTGGGAACATCTGCACAAAGACAAGAAATCACTGCAATCTTTTTTTTCTACTTTAACCTTAACAAGTTTTATCTCAAGTAGAGGACAGACACTGTTCTAGATATCACCAGGCAGCCAGAATTCACACCTGCAGAAAGGAAGTGTACAGAATGCAACCCCCTGCCCTCTTTTCCCATGAGATGTACGTATCGCATCACTCACAGGAACCCTCCGTGAGGAGAGCTGGCCTCCAGAAGCTATTAGAGAACCTGACTCTGACAGAATTTAATCTATTTCCACACAACATAAGCAAAAGGAATTTATACTGTTCCCAACAAGAAGTCTGGGAGAACCAAAAGGTTTGTGCTTTATTACCTCTCGGGGCCAAGCCATCTCCTAGCAAAATCAGAAACTGAGAAAATGCCAGCATATCCTACCCTATCCTATCCTACCAACAGAGGAGCCTGCCTTGCAAAAAGCTTCCTCAGCAAGCATAGATGATTTTTAAGCCAGAATGCTTGCAAAAAAGGTGCGACTAATGGACTCATTTCTTGGCTAATGACAAGAAGGAGGAGCAAAATAAAAGGGGATGACTCATACAAGTGATTATAAATGTTGAGCCATACACCTGCAGAGTTTGAAGGGAGAGGGCATGTTCAGTTAGGCCTCTATCTCAGTAAAAGGAGGAAATAGCTCACTTAAAACTGCAAGCTGTTTTCTGTGGGCCATTTCCAAACTACAAAAGCAGCAGGCACCCAAATTACTTGTCTATCTTCGTCACCAAGAGCTTAAAATACAGAACAAAAAGAAAGAAAATGCTCTCTCCCAATCCGTTCTTTACAAAAACATGTATTACTTTCACTGACGTGTCACAGGATGGCATGTATGGCTGGGGGAATAAAGTAAAAGATGTAAGGTACGTGAGAGGAGAGAGAGAGAAATTAGAATTGCAATAAAAGAAGCAAAAAACAACAACAAAAATCAACAATCCCAGACTGCATTCAGATAAACATCTTTTTGTAAGAGATAGGAAAAGTTGCTGGTTTTCTTCTGACTGTTCGCCACTGTTGCCATCTGCTGACAGAAGTACTTGTATTTACTGCTTAGGGCTGACATATAATAACGTAAAAATGGGTCTTCAGAGTACAGGCCACCGGCATGACTTGTCTCCAGTTAACAGTATTTTAATTTAGTAATTCAAATTGTTGCAATATACAGCCTGTTGTACAAAAAAGAAACATCATGACCAGACATATCTGAATATGTTTCATTATTCTAGCTGCTTGTTAACAGAAATAAGAAACTGGAAGCCCAATGACCAGCTTTCCAATTAGCAATTCTAATCAATAACCTAATTAAAATGAATTCACGTATTTTACTAGTTTTCAGTCTGTAGCATAATTGCATCAATTCAAATGCAGTCAAAGTAGCATATAATTCTAGATAAGTAACTTTATCCTTCACTTGCTGAAGACCAGCAAGTCTATGACTGTGTAAACTTCCGTCTACTTTAACTGCAGACACATAAGAACACTGAAGTATCATTACACAAAACATTACAGATGCCCATTTGACTTTCCTAAAAACAGGAATATTACAGCACACAAATTGTCTACAGCAGATTCAGAAGAAAACCCTTTATCTAACCATTCTTCCAGAAGTTAAGCAAAATCATGCAAACATTAGCTAAGCCTTTAATAAGTATCCAAGTAATAAAGAATAGCAGCTTATCACTTTAAAGATCTTGTTTTACAAACAGGAACAGATAGTTAAACAATGCCAAAGCAGGCATTAAGGAAAAAGTCACTACCTTTTTTCTCGTGCTAACTGTGTTTAGTTCATAGACAAAGAAAAACACACCTACCTGTTGTCCATCTTGATAGTTGTCTATACTTAATGTCTGTGTTGCCATCATGGTTAATAAAACGTTAATTCTGTCAAATCATCATAAGCATGAACAAATATTCTTTAAAAAAAAAAAAGTCAGTTACAAAAGTGACCACTTAAAATCCAGTTCTAAAAGATAAAAAAAGATAAAGATTTATGCACACCTCTGCTCAAAAAATCAGCGAGTTTATTGACAGTGATAGTTACGTCCATTTTCTCAAACAAACAAACAAAAAAATCAAGTTGGAAAACGCAACAGGTTTCATCAGCAAAAAGTTCATTGTATCATTTTATATTTTAATGTAAGGTTTTTAATAAGAGGCTGAGGTTCTTTTACATTCACAAACTTCAGGTAAACTTTTTATTTTTATACTACTTAACTAACTTATTCTGAGGTAATACAAAAAATCTAGAAACGAGCAAAGATCTTTGTTTCTGTGTTCTGAAAAGGCTAAAAACACATTGAGCATTACTGTAACTGAAATAATAATAGTCTACAACCAAATGTAAAAAGTGTTAAGGAATACCCTATTTATTTCTGAGTATTAATCCCACATTCTAAAGTTAGGGCCTGAAATTACTTTTAGAAACTGAAGTCTCAAATCACTTCTGACATCAGGAATCTACCATTCAAGTCTTTTAAGGCTCTACAAAGAATCAAACAATATCTAACAACTTTTAAACAATTGAGCCTATCTGATTATATAGTTTCAAAAGTGACCTAGGAATTCAGAAGTCTCATTTTCATAGACATTTGATACTTTCGGAAATATTAATTTTAATAGAATTTATAACACAAGTAAGTTTATGCATGTTATTCCCTCTAAGGATTAGCTGGAGTTCGGTGCCCAGATGAGTTAAACATTTTTTTAAAGTTAGATGTTCAGTAATTTAAAAAAAAAAAAAAAAAAAAAATTAGCATAGCACCACCACCAGATAGTTTATCCATCAAATCACTATTTTACATTTCATTTTCTTGTCAGATTAGCAGCCATTACAACTGAAATCACATAATTCATTAAGCTATTACCATTAAATATTACCATAGAACTCAATTTTCCTTGACACATAGGAGTCCTAACATTTAGTTACTATAAAAAATATTCATATTAAAAAAGAAGACAGAGCTCATGTCTTGGAAAAGATTACATCCAAGTATTAATTCCACGTTTTCTGCTCCCTTCCACTTATGTCAGATTCAAAGAACTAAGTATTAGAATTTTCACCAGTTTAAGATCTGAAACAAAAGCTTTCTTCTTTGTAATGTGTTCAATCACTACAGATTTTTCAACTACTTTTAAATCTTTCCTTCACCATTGCATGCCACTACAGTATATGACCATTTTGAAGAGCAATTTTTACATTTCTGGATATTTTCTCCTACAGATTATAATACTCTCAAGTAAATGTTTCATTTAGGAAACACAGGATAAATGTCAAGATACCCTTTTTTGTTTACTTAACAGTTTCAGGCACAGAGACATACCTAACTCCTCAGGACAAACCTCAAGCCTTAATTTGCATCAAGTTCTATTCGAAGTGCAACTCCTAAGCATTGCTGCAATTTCTTTTTTTTTTTTTTTTTTTTTTTTTTTAAAACAGCTTTAAAGACCAGAGAAATTCACCAGGATGACATAAGCATGACTTCCTTTACAAACGAGGTTATTGACTTTCACTCACTAATGCTTAAATGGAACTGTTAACTCTTTCGGAGTGTATGCCATTTTACACACACAAAAGCATCTTGGGAACCACAAATGTGAGCAGACAGAGCAGATCTTGGTTCTGGCATTGGGTCATGCGCTTGCAGAGCTGAACAAGCTTCCATCTGTAGCCAACATGCACATATCATCTTGAGTAGCTTGTGGAATACTAGCCAAAAGGTATGCTACAGCTTGGGAACTCCTATGCTAAAGTATGTTTTTCTTAAGAATACAATTTACAGAGGAAAAGAGTAAAGAATGCATTTAGAGTTTTTTCTAATAGCTTTAATGAAAGTATTTTCTGGTTCTAGTTTTTCTGTCTGTCTTTATAGAACATCAGTATCTCTTTCTTTGAAACTCCAAAAGTATTACTGATTTCTCCACCAAAAAAAAAAAAAAAAAAAAGGAACGGCATAAATGCACTCACTGATAGAGGTACTTCAAATTTTTAATTTTTTTTTTTTAATGGTTATGAGTCATTTAATGTTAAAGTTAAATCAGCACTTGCCACAATAGCAAAGTGAGATATCTTTCAAAATACTTTAAGGGGACATATTCTAAAACATCAGTCCTGTAAGCATTTGCCTTATGTTTAAACATTTATTTTCTTTCAAAAATGGTAGCTTACAACAGGGGCATTAGTGTCCTTAGTTATAGAGTGAAAGGGCACATACAGAATGCTGCTTTTCTTCCTTCTCAAAAGGCACACATTTGATTTCTGACGGTGATATCCAAAACAAAGACCAAACTACCCTCAAAATAAAAATAGAACAGTTGAAGAGATCAACAAAGAAAGAGTAAACACTATTCAGTGATTGCCTTAGAAGGTGAAGAAGTTCCTCGAAATGCTGATAAAGAAATTGTCTGGCTGTGGGAGAAAGATGAAGTTCTTAGTCAGAAAGGAGGAAATAAGAACAGGTAAAACAGTCGTAGAAGAGGAAGAACGTCTCAGAGTTAAGCAAGGATGTGAGATCGTATTAGTGACACAAAGAACAACATGGAGAGGGAAGCAACAATGATAACACGTGTAAACTGGTGAAGAGAATAGGACATTGCAAGAATTTCTGGAGAATCAGACAAGCTGATTTCCAGATTTCCATAAGGAAGAGACATTCCACATCTGGAAATCCCTCTGGCCACACGAAGGAAGAAAGAGGTGCACAGCTTTGAGCTAGATCCATAGATTATTTCATCAAAAAGGACTTTTGCCCTACTCTCTCCCAGGGGAACGGCTGGAACCAATTCTACATGGGTATATCCTTTATTTCCCGTAAGAGCTTCCCCTCTGACTTATAATTAAAGTAGAAGAAGATTAAGCTATTAGGCAAGATAGCAACTGATGAGATTTAGTGAAGACAACTACTGCAAATCAAGAAGAACAAATTGAGCTAATCACACACTTAAATTGAGGCAATTAACTGAGGAATTACTTTGGTTCACTAAAGAGAAACATCTTCTCATTACCCAGTAGTGGTAAGAGACAAACTATGTTAAACTTTAAGAAAAATAACTGAAAAGGTATTTACACATTTGGGTTTTATAACCTAATTTAGGATACAGCATCCAGTTCTAGTTAGCAGATACACAGCCTAAGCAGATGTTCATTCTGCAAACAACGATGCTAGACGAAGCTGGTATCGCTCCCAGATGTTTATCACTGCCACCCTGCCAGAGCTAATTACTTCCACAGCTCTACCGCTGAGCCCACAGAACACGTGAACGATTTCTGATCGTTTTTACATAAAGTCAGCTAGGCCAGCTCAACCCACTGTTAAAGGTGGCTATGATGCAAACCAGCTGACTTTGTCTGAAGCACATTGCTGTGCACTCATACAACCCCTGCTCTTGGCTGACCTATTAGTGTGGTAATTTCTGGCTCATGTGTGGCGATTATCAACTCACAGCAGGACCATCTTTAACCAGCACAGCTATACCCAATACTATATGGCCTAAGGTATCTGAAGTGGGCCTAAGAACACATGACTTCTGGACAACTTAGCTTTAAAAACGCCAATTATTTGTAAAAGAAATTGGGAGTAGGAGGAAAACTCTGCATTTGTCTTATATTCAAAGAGTTATAAAGAAAAAAAAAATAACCTGAGGCTGAGAGAGTCAGCCAGTATGCTTCATACAGAACAAAATTAACTCTCATTCTATTTATTTTGAAAACAAAGTGTGAGGAAAACCCAAGGAAATGTTTAAGGTCATGCAAACTGGAAGCTGATGCATGAACTGCAACCAGAAACTCCATTGATATCTGTGGCGAAAGGGAATTCATAAAAGCATTGTGTTCTGCAAAACAAAACGAAAGGAAAAAAAACTCAAGCCTTTAATAAAAATAAGTATGAAGGTAAAATGTAGAGTAGAAAGGACGCTAAATTAAGAGGGGTAATCATAATTAGAAACGTGAAGACTTTGTGCAAGTTAAGAAGTGTCTAAGAGAAGAGATTAAAGGTAAGCTGAAACATGTACACAAAGTGATCACTTAACATAACATGACTCCTCACTTGCTCTACTTACTCCTTCATAATTAAGAGCAAAGGGACCACCCAGTAACGTTAACATACGGTGCAAGTAAGCTGTTGGAGTTCAGTAATATCATTTTTAACATATACAAGCTACAACAGATGTTTGTAAGAGATATAAATAGTTATGCTTCAGGGTATAAACCAACCACTAACCGTCTTAGGGTTGTGAAGAAACTACCCAACAGACTTGTTAACAAGTAATCGTTCCTTCTAATTTTCCCCTATACACATTCCTTTGAAGTCCTTCAGAGAGAAATGGACCATTGGCAAATTCAGCATGGCTATGTTATTTAACTTTAGTCCTGGCCCTTGCTCTGTAACATAGATCCTTATATTCACACACAAAGTTAAAAAGAAACAAAAATCAAACCAGCAAGCCTGTTTGACACATGAAAAGCATCTAGAACTGGCTTCACTTTTCATCAAAATACGTAATGACATTTGCTTCCAGAGCACACTGCTTTCTAAAGGAGATAAAACATTGGCTCTGAGAAAGCTGCTCACCCCTTTCCTTCAGTGGGTTGAAGACGACATTATTTTGTTCCAGCAGAGTGAATCCCACTGATGTACAACGTAGAGGACAGAAACCTAAAAGCCAATAGAGAAATATTCAGAAGGAGACAACAACATAGAACATACTTTCCAAGCCAATATGATTAAAGAAAATATTTTGGTTTATTACGTGGTTCCCTCCCCAAGTTTAAATAAACTGACAGGATTTTTTTTGCATGTTTTGCAAACATTTTTTTTGCATTTTTAATAATCTCTAGTCACACCTACTATCCCATGCTATTATTTGAACTTTCCCTCATGTTATTCCATTAATTCTCCATACTTATCTTTGTCTTTGCTGACACCTGTAACAGAAGGCTACATTTGGACTGCTAACTCACTTGCTGTTCAACCTTTATATTTTACTCTCTGGTTCAGTGTCTGACTAGACAAAACACATCCCAAAAATAAAACTACGAAATGCAAATAGGAATAACTCATCAGTGTTGTAAAAATTAAGCAATTCTTTCACCAAGAAAGGTGAAAGACTTTTTTTAAATTTAAATCTGCTTCATAATCATGCTTTGATTGTACCATGGAACATATTCTAATGATGGCTACGATCAAGTAATCTGCTACATGATAAAAACTAATAGACAATAGGGAGGGGTGCGAGCCATTTTTAGGATCACGTGTTCTGTGAAGACAAGTTCTGCTACGGGATTATTCAGCAATTTTAAAAAACTTTCAAAACATTACCACTTAAAATTACTTGAATTATATTTATTTTAATAGCACCTGTTTGATATACTAAAGCTATTTATAAAAAGTAGTAATGATTGTGAGAGCACAGTAGCAAAGATTGTGAAAATGTATTTAGAAAACACAACTGCTGAAAAGCATTAAAAAAAGCAAAACTATCTCAGGGGAAGTTCCAGACACTAATGTCGCACAAAGGCCATCTGAAATGATATGATGGCTAAAACACACACCTGAGATCTTGAATCAGACTACCTCCATCTCTCACACAGACAAAGTTTCTGTGTTCCCAGTTTTGCCAACTGCATAAGAACTGGAATGAAAGTAACTCAAACATTTTTGATAGTGAAATGAAGTTGGTATTTGGGTTTGAGAACCAAATTTTATCTATGCATAGTGTAGTAGTAATGTTTTTCAGACAAGTTCACAGAAAAACAAAATGCTAAGGTCCACTCAATATAGATGCCATCTCTGGTTCATGAAACCTAGCTCTAAAAGAGCAGGGAAGCTACTCTGAAGAGCTATAAGGTGGTATAAGCTTCAGTCATTGGTTAGAGATGAAATACTGAGCTAGAAGGAATTTCAGTCCAAACTGATACAACTGGTCTTGAAGCCTCAAGGGGCAGATGACACATTAAAAGTTCTTACCACTTTCTCTTAAACTGTCAAAGACCTATGTCCCCAAACAATGGACTTCTCTCATTTTTGTAACTTCTTAATGCTGTTCTGAGAAGACAGCGTACCCTCTTATTCCCTTCTTCGCATGCTATTTATCTTCTATAATTTTGTTACTCGCTTTCACCTACCTCAACTTACTGGGCTATTTTCCAGTAGAGGACATCTCACTATTCATAGCATCTTCTGAATGTAGCTCACTGCCAGATAAATTGGGATTATCTATTTCTTGTCTCTGCTCAGACATAGAGAAGGACTACTTCACCATTGCAAATCTGAAAAACCTGCTCCCTTCATTCAGAAACAACTGCAGAAAAAAACTGATTGTGCCACTGCTGCCAGATCTGGTCACTCAAAAATATTTCATGTATGAAGAAGAATGTAGTCCTTGCCTGCAAAGCCTTCCGCTGAAACTCTGGAAATAGGCAAGTTTCTAGACAGTGTATGAGATATCGAGGGCAGAAAGAAAGAGGTAATGAAGAAATGCAGGCCCAGGTGAAAGATGCTGCAGAGGAGAAGATTTAGCTGAGAAGGAGCCAGGGGATATTGCAGTCATATTGCCTTCTTCCAAGAGGCATGTGACAGCAATTGAGACTAGAGTCTACCCTAAAACATATCAGACAAGAAAACAAGAGAGGTCTGAGCTTGTGTGTTATGTCCTCTCGCATATCCCAGGAGGGGAAGAACAGGGAGCCGATACACCTGTTAAAGGATGTAGACAATACCAAGGCACTATGGAGCCTAAACTTGGAATTGCTATTGCCAATTCATTTTTTCCTTTTATTCCTCTTGTAGACAAGCTTTAAAGTCATGTTATCATAATAAAGAAGACACTTAACTATGAAACCAAAACCAAGGGCAACTTGCTTTGTCACTTAAAAAGCGTATCACGATTGAAGTTTTTACTACAAAGTAAAATATGACCTCGTTCATTCAAGCATAGAAGAACCCTCTGTTCAGTCATTCTCTCATTTTGCATGTCAGCTAGTAAGAAACAAAGACCTGTGCATACATTTACATATAAAAATATTAGCAGACATTAAGATCAAGATACATTTGTATTTTTATAGATTCAAATAATAATAGTGAAGCAATATGTAGAGTACATATGACAACATTCCATTAGGGATTCATTCTACCTTTGCTGCAGTGGTTACCTATCCCTAACCTGCCTACAAAGAGACATTCAGTAAAATTAAGACAAACAAATCAATATGAAGTTGATGCATACAAGGTCATTAAAACTGTGCTCAATGAGAAAGTACTGCTCATTCAGCAGCAAGGTGGCTTCCATTTCCTCTATCTTATGTACTTACAAAGTATAGTAATTATTTAGAATATTTTACTTTTAGAAAGATGATGTTCCTGTTCAGGAATATAATATCAGCCTCAGGAAGTTACACTATGCAGACACAGCTAAACAGTTATTACACAACAGCTATGCTGTCAATTCCCTGGGAGACAAGCCCTAAAAAGCCACAAAACCAATTTTCAGCTGCAGTAAAATGAGATTTACTTCGTGTCACTTTTTTCCCTTTATTGTTTGGTGGTGCAATAACGTTATTTATATATTAATCTTGATGAATATGAGATTACATTAAAAAACTGAATGCATATTATACTTTAAGAAACTGAAAATTAAAAATAAATTAAAATCCACCACTAAGGTTAAATTTCTTCAGAAATACAGGCTACACTACTAGCTATCATCAACCTTTCTTTGCCTGTAGGATTTTGGACATATATACTATGTCACACTGATTTTATTCAGCAAGACCTCTCCCAACACTATATATACTGCTTTGTTGTCCCATTAATCTTTCATGAAATCCTCTTTTCATATCATCCCATTTCAGAACTTAACAAGCCATACTAAGTATCTATATCACTGACTATCCTCCAAGCATCACCACACATTGTCATACAGCATGGCAAACAACAAACCATCTCATGAAAAGATTTGTGTCCCTTTAGCAATTCACTCTTTGTGTAAACTCTGCTTTTGGTATTTTAAAGGCATTCTGGAAATTCTAGAAATTACAAGCTAAAATTGCACATGCAGTAACACTGATAAAATGGATATTAAGGATGCATAAGATAATATAAGTTTCTCAAGGCACAACAACAAAAGCAGAATTAAGGGCATCTGGGTCTTTTGAAGACCTTCAGCTCCTTAATTCTGCATACATCCTTTGTGTTTACACCAGCATATTTCTTGGGAAGCATGCATAATCATGGTTCATGTTCACGGTTCACGTAATTGACAATTTACCATAGCGCTTCTTAACAACAAGGAAGAGAAAGATAAGAAACCCTATCCAATCTAGTCATAAAATAATGTCCCCTCAGTATGCTTAGGTATCCTGCCTCCAGGTAGCTCTTGGCATTGCAGAAGGAAATCCTCAGGTTGCTCTCCTACCTTCTGCAAAATGAAAACCTCATTCTTCTAACTATTAAAAGATTCTCAAATTCAAGAAACTTCCTGCAGCATCTCAGTTTCTCCTACCCATTTCACACTGTAATTTGACCCCGCTTATAAAGTAGCTCCATAAAGTGATAGTAAGGAATTAAGGGGACTAAACAGAAATTTTGGTAAAAGGAAAACAAAAACTTGGCAGAAAGGAAACCTCCCTTCTTTGATTGCTCCAAGACTCAGGAGGGATTAGGGTATGAGGGAGCAAAAATATTTCCCATCGCTCCCTCATTCATGCCCAATATTCACATAGTAAATGAAGATTCCTTCAGGGTTTTTTTTCCTGTATTCTTAACACTGCAAACTGAAGGACTTTTTACGGTTCTTGCTTGTGAATCCTAGCGTACACATCATGATTCCTCACACATTACCTACTTGTCACGAGACAGAGAAGTACTTTTTTCCTTTCCGTATTTACCCAATGTGCTGTCATCATAACATTTTAGACCCCAAAATCAAGAAGATAGTGTAATATCTGCCTTGCTGCTATCGTGGTAAGAGGACTGCATTAGAAAGACTACCAAAAAACCCTTATATACCAGAGGATGTGTATCAGCAACAGCTGCAACTGACTGTAGTACATCTTTCCTACTTAATGATATTTAATTACTTTTTCAAACACAATTCCATTTTAAAAAAACCAACCAAACAAACCAAACCAAAACAAAAAAAACCACAAACAAAAAACCCCCCAAAAACAGAACTCCACCCTCCACATTTCCCCAGCATTCCCCACATGGATAAACTACAGGTTTGCATACGTGCTAGACACAATTCCATTCCTTTGCCATTGAAGCCTTTTGAATACCCACACAAGCATGTAGTGAATCTCTCACTTCTGGAGACACTCATTTTATCATATTCTTCCAGATGAATTAAACCAAAGCAAAGGGAAATCCTATTTTAAACATGATTTGTATCAGCACCCAATAAACTATGACTGAAATTAATCTTGTTTGTGTTTATACTTTGCGGTTTCATAAAGAAGACAGAATAACCACCAATCTCACTATGCCTTTATTGCTATTGAATACTTTACAATGTTAGCAAGCAGTTTATGTAAGCATATGTAAGTTTTCCAACATTTTTATTATAAAACCGTAAAAGTTTCTAATGATTTTTTCTATGAAAGACAATTCCTAATGCTACTGAAGTGCACTTAAAAGATGACGAGGAGTTTTATTTAACTAA